TCGTGAAGGTCTCGAGGGTGGGGCGTGCAGTCTAAAATGCCCGACATGGTGCCGTGAAGTCGTGTGGGGCGATGCCCGCCACGTGCTTCCAGTGCGTGCATCATGGCGGCGAATACCACAAACCTGATTTGCTTGCCGCCTACGTTGGAGCGCTCGTCTAGAGGGCCGCCCCGCGCGACCCGTGTACTCGCGCGGGTGCGCAGGTGTCTGCCAAACCGAAGCCTAAGCCGCCAGCAAGGGGCGATAATCCTTGACAATGCCATGCGCCGTGGCACGTAGAGGTTCAAGCATTGTAGGAATCCGGCGCCGATATGACGAACAAGGGAGATGCGACGGGGCGGCCCGCCGCTGGGAGTGGCGAGGCGTCGGGGTAACCCGACGCTGACGACGATCGCGACAGAACGCGCTCTGCCCAATAGTTCGTCGTATTTGAGGAAAGAGAGGCGGCTCAGGGCGATGCCGTATTCTGAGCGCAGCACCAGTCGGCAACCTCGTGGTCTGACTCGGTGCGGAAGATCCTGCAGTTTCCACGTGATGCAGCTGTTGCCGCTCCGGCGCCTCCAATCTTTGTTAGGCCAGGCTGGGTCCTTGGCAGGGCCGCAGATGGAGCGACGTGTGCCCCGGACCGATGACCAGAGGGGTCGATCCGCAGTCTGCGGGCCCCGATCGGCTTCGCGCCCTGCTTGCCAAGAGTTCCTCGTGGGAACCAGGAGCTGGCGTCGGCTTGGCCTTGTAGGAGCTGCGACATCATGTAGTGTGAACGACTAGTAGAGATCGGTCGACTAATGTCGTGCGCGTTGCAGCAGCCAACTTCATGCTGCTGGTAACGGACTTGCCATGCTTTCCAGATGCCCACGCCCTCTTCGAAAGGTTAGTGGCCTCAAGCCAGCTTGATGACCAGGGCTTGCCAACGATGCCGGAGTTTCCTCATCTGGATCCCGTAATGACCGTGATTCCAAAGGTTACCGTCTCACGAGACGAAGATCGAGATGCTGCGCGGGCAGCCGTAGGTGAATCAGCGGTTGGCATGTGTTTCGAACCGACCAGGGCCGACGAAGGCGCACCCATCGACCGAGGACATTGATTTGGCGGTGATTGAGTTGTCAGTGATTCAACCAGAAGGCGATCCGCCCAGGTCGTCACTCGGTGCTGTGCCTCAGCACCCAGTCATTCAGAGAGCCGTCGCTTCGGGCGCTACCCAGAACGACCATATCCCGTTCATCGAATCGGTGGAAACCGAGGCCCCCTGGGGTCAAGACGAGGAGGTCGATGCAGAGGGGCGACCCAGCGCTGGCGACGCGTTGGAGCAATCCAGCGCAGCGGGGAAATATTCTGTGCGCGACATTCTTGGGCCAGCCCAGTGGCGACCCCTCACACGGGCGCGCCCAAGAAGCATGTTAGAAAGCCGAGCGTTGCGCCGAAAAGGAGGTCGAGAATGTCAGGGGGCGAGAGTTGCAAGCCGGCTTTGCTTTGTCTCGTGCAGTCTGTGTGATCTTTGAACGCGCGTCGCTGGGGCGACATGGCTCTAATGCCCGTCCAGGAGCTGCCAGAGACCGCAGCCACGGTGTGTGCCGAGCTTGTTGGACAGCGAAAAGACGCTCAATGTCTGCATGGTCACTTCTTGCCCACGATCGACAATCGGTCAGTCAAGGAGGTGTGCCCATGATGTCTGTTCCCGCTCAGGGGAGACGTTGCTGGGCCAGCGCTCGACTGCGACTTCCAGCGCTTGAGGAACGTCCTCGATGCAGTAACTCCAGGTTTCCTGGGCCTTGCTCCAGGGGGGCGCATCGAATGCCGCGGCGTCCGCGGCCGCTGGGGCGGGGCGCTGATTGAGCCCGAGTAGTTCAAGCGTGCGCGTGCAAGGAGGTTCCTTGTTATTCTGGCGGAGCGATAGGGCACTGACCTGCGGTGGGCAGACTTCATGGCGCGAAGAACATGCAACAACAGCGATGCGCAGTCGGCCCGTCAACGGGATTGACAATGGCGCGACTGCATAGACGCATCGATGCTCGGGCCGTCGCCCGAACTTGCCCGAGGAAGAGGCAGGCCGAATGCGCGGGCCGCCGAGCCACGGCCGGCAGGAGTGCAGGAGGTCATCGCCCTTGGACGTATCGCTCGTCTGCTTAGGCAATGTGATGCGCGGAAGGCAAGTATCGCCCGACACCCAGCTGCTGGAAAGTGGCATCGCGGGGCTGATGTGCTCAACGTGGAGGTGGTGCCCTCTGCGGAGGGGCGACCCACCGCCGCGCGTCAGCGTAGCAGGCCACCTCGGACGCCTCCCGCGAGGCGACGGATTGAGGTGACGCAGCCCCTGGAGCCGAGTGGGGCACCCAGTTCCATAGCACCGGCTCCGCTTGCCGGGCCACTTTTGCGAACGGCGACGGAGCAACCCGACGCGGAGGTTGCGATGGGGCAACCCGCCGCGAGGGGTCAGCCGCCGTCTGGGCCACCTCCCAGGGCATCTCGAGCTCTGTCCGTTTGACGTCGGGTGCGCGCATGACGCCAGCTTCGGTGCCTGTAGGTTGCAGATTGCCTTGTCATGCGCCAGCGTTTGCGGCTGATCGGTAGAGGGGCCGGCGTTCTCATCAGCTTCGCCGCGCGACGGGGCCTGTCCACGAGCGTGCGTGGTCGGCTCAGCGTGGAGGGGGCGGCCTCCGGGCGCGCGGCAGTCGATGGCGCCCGAAGTTGGCAGAGCGCGGGGCCAAAGGCGATCGCGCGCGTGGGTCGCGCAGCGGGTCTGCTGCTGCCTCGAGTCTTGGGCAGTGCGCGTCCCCCGCCAACGGCCCTGGCCCGCGAGGGGGATGCTCGTGGAAGCTGACCGTGCGGGGGGGAAGCGTGGGCCTCCCCGCGGGGGGGCAGGAGATTGGGGCTGCGACTGGTGCGATGATGAGAACTGGGATGACAGTGGGCGCCAGTTGCAGGATGGGGCAACCCGTCGTCGCATCCCTTCGTCCCCCCTCTATCCCTTGCTCTCTCCCCGTCGTCGCTGCCCAGCCGCGGAGTCTTGGACTTCGAGTCCTCGCCGACCATGTTCTTCGTCGCTTACTGCGTCGCGAAGATCCCGTGTGCCAGCCTCTGTGTTGGGGGCCGAGCGCGGCCGCCCCATCGGCCTGAGGACGAGCGGCGTCTGCTTCTGCGCTCCCCGACTCCCGTGAACATTGCGCCGCCCGTTCTTTTTTGGGTACTGGGTTTGTCCTGGGTTTCCTTTTGGGCCCTGGGTTTTCTTTCGGTTTCCTTCTGGGTCATGGATTTTCTTTTGGGTCCTGGGGCTTGGGTGGGGTCCTGGGGTAAAGTCGTGCCTGAAGACCCTTGTTGTGGGCTCTGCGGCGGTGTTTGTGCTTGTGTGTTCTACCTCTTCGGAGCAGACGCGTTCTACTTTTAAGTCGCAGTCACGCCGCTGGGATTTTGGTGGGTCGGCCCCGTGGGACAATCTCGGGCCTTCCCCTCCCCGCTCCTGCCTTCCGTGCTCCGTCCTCTGAGGATCGAGGTGGGGATGAGTCTAAGTTTCCGCCGCTGCGCAGCATGTGTGGCTCCCGAGGCGAGAGAGTCAAACGGTGTGCGCGGTCTGCTGCCCGCGCTCCGTGTTGCTCCTTGCTTGCATATGGCACACCGTTGTATGTAGTATTTGTACACTGGCCGAACTCGGCCGCTTTCGTAAGCGAGCTGAGTCTGGCCCAAAGGCTGTTCTAATTCTATACTCCTATAGCGGTTCACCACCAGTGCTCGTGATCGGCCGCCGCAAACCGACCAACGCCTTGTAGCGTTAAAGTGGCGATATGGTCAGGTTTCAAACTTGCCGCGCCAGGTGGAAATGATCTGGCGCCAACATTGGCGGGTGGCGGACTGCGTGGTGGGAAACATATTTCAATTTGTGTACGTGGAAATCGGCATTGCGATTTCGGCCCCGCGATAGCTGATACGCTCCCATGGTGCACGGCTGCGGCAATCATCTGCAAGTGGAACGAAAACTATCGGGAATGGGGACTTCTGTACATCAATAAGATAAATGAGCCAACGCGGCCAACATATAATTTGAATTCGCTGTTCAGAGATCGTGTTTCTGCATCTTGTGCTAACTGCGTATGGCCGTATTGTTTATTTTCAACTCGAAATGTCCCAGCGATTTGAAATCGATACGGTGTGCAAGTACGCCTTAGGCGGATATTTGAGCAGAGTAAAGCGGGGCAGTAGGCAAAGCGTTCGCACGACTCGTTTCGCCGCGCAGCGGGGGGGGGCGGGGGGACCTTTTCTGCGCGGGTGGTCTCGTGTCCTCAGCAAACGAGTGCCGTTCATAGTTTATAATTATGTTCTGGTTTATTTGCTTCGTATCCATCGGCCGCTGGTGCACTTCAAGTAATGGCGCGAAGGCGCTCGTGTTACGGCGTTTGTGTTCGTCGAGTCGCACCGCGGGCGCCAATGATACGGCAACACCCGTTTTATCATGGCATGCTATACATTGTCGTCTTCTTTGTTTTTTTCAGTTTCGACCGTTGAATTTGCATGAGCATCATATACACATCAGTATGCCGTCTAAATGGCCCTCCCTTCCCCCGCCAGTGGCCGCACACGTGTTCCTCGTCAACGCTCCTCCGGCGTCCTCTGGCGCATTCGTCTTTTCTCGTCGTCATCTCTCCTTTCCTCGCCCGTGCCCTCCCGCGTCACGTTTCGTCGCGTCCTCCATCGTCCTTGTCATCGCTTCTCAGCCCAGCCTCCTTCCTCCACGCATTCAAAACGCGCGTCCGAAGTGTCCAGTCATGCGCAGCGCGTCGTCGGCCGAAAGGGGGATGAACAGGAGGGCGCAACTCCAACGCAGAAAGGATGGGGATGAGCAGTGCGAGCCAATAGTCGGCTCTCGCCAAAGGAGTCGGCCAGGGCGGGCAGTCTTTGAAGACCCTTCGGCGAGGAGGTTGCATAGGGTGTGAAGCAGTTCGAAGCTCCAGCCCGTTCGGCAGAAAGATCATGTGGATAAGCTCGCATCCCCCACGTAGTCGTCATCGTCGTCGTCGTCGCCGCCGTCGCCGCCGCCGTCGTCGTCGTCGTCGCCGCCGCCGCCGCCGCCGCCGTCGTCGTCGTCGCCGCCGCCGCCGCCTCAGCGGCGCCCGTGTTCACAGCCGGCGGCTGAAGATTTTCAAGCCTCGCTTGCGACGTTTCGCCCCCGCTTTGCGGCGCATTCCGGGCGAAGGGAACTATGCACATACACCGATCTTGGCCAGGCCCATCCTTGGCCCAGGATCGGTGCACATGCCTCCCTGGCCAAGGCAGGAGGGCGCATGCACCGATCTTGTGCTCAGGATGGGCCTGGCCAAAATCGGTGTATGGCATAGTTCTTTTTCCCCTAGCATTCCAAATCTGGGGGACCTCCGCTGTCCGCCTGCACTGCTCCTGGCCAGGCCCCTCCCGTGCCTGGCATCGGTGCGTGCGCTCTTGCGGCCTGGCCCGGGGGCACGCACCGAGGGCCGCGGAAGGGCCCCGAGTCCCGCCGATGGCTCCTCCCTCCTCCCTCCTCCCTCCTCCCTTCCTTCCTCCCTTCCTCCCTTCCTCACTTCCTCCCTCCTCTCTCCTCCTTCTCCTCCTCCTCCTCCTCCTCCTCCCCCTCCTCCTTCTCCTCCTCCTCCTCCTCTTTCTCCTCCTCCTCCTCCTCCTCCTCCTTCTCCTCCTCCTCCTCCTCCTCCTCCTCCTCCTCCTCCTCCTCCCTGCCGAGGGCCCGCCTTGGTCCGGTATAGGTGGACTTCGGTAGCAAGTCGTGGGAGACTGGTATGCCCTCTCAATTCCCTCTTTAGAGCGTCGATTAGCGTCGATTCGCGTCTGGTAGTCGATGAGATAGCGCCGATTTTGCGTCGATCAGCGTCGACTAAGCGTTGATCGGCGTCGATCAGCGTCGATCTAGCGTCGACCAGCGTCGGTTCGCAAGAGCCGACAAAATGGTACCAGAGGCTCCCATGAGCTGCCACCGAAGGTACGGTGGGGGTGTTGGTTGAGAAATGTGCCCAGGAGGCTTCAGACCCTGAAGAATTCCTTATCTGACGAGGGCGGCGGCGCTGCCCACTGCCGAGCCGCTACCGAGGTTCCGCGGGTTTCCAGACTCTGGATTCCATATTCAAGGTTTCCTTTTCCAAAGCCCCCGCCGTAGAGGCGGACAGTTGGTGTCCTCTGACCGATGGCCATGGCCCGCGCTGGACGCCGATCTGCCGCCCTGCCCGCGCTTCTGCTGCTGGCCCTCGGGGCGGCGGCGCTGCTGAGCTCCACGGGCGCCTTCGTGCCGGCGCCGAAGGCCCCGCGGGTCGGAGGGAGGGCAAGGCGATGACCCCCAGGACGTGTGTTAGCCCCCAGACATGATCGCGTCGTTAAGAAATCAGGACGGGAGGTTTTTGGTTATTTTCGGCCCCGGGGGGCCCTCGCCGGGCCTCGGGACCGTCAAAAAACGACTCAGGACGAAAACCTGGTCCCGGGGAAAGTTTCGGGACTTCCAGGGACGCTGTCCTGAAAAAATCAGGACGTCGCATTCTGGGCCAATGTGTGTGTTTGCCCCGCTCAGCTCCGTCGATGGCACGCAGTTCGCGTTGGCTCTCATGAGCTACGCCGCGCGCGTCGCATCGGAGGGCTTCGGTAGGCAAGCGCACGTTTGCGTTAAACAGACACTCTCAGAAAGTGACATCACCACCAACGGGCCAGTTCCTGCGAGGGGGTCCGCGATTCCCCCCCCTAGCTGGAGGTTGGCCACGTCTCGAGCGGGACGCCGCAAAACAGGGGTACCTCACACCACCAGGAGGGCCCAGCCTGAATCTTTCCCTGGTGGTGGTGGCGTCGTGTCTCCGTGCCCCTAATCATGCGGGAGGAGCTCGGGGTGTTGGAGAGGCGAATCCTGGGAGGCTCGCGCAGGTTGCCCGAGGACGGATCATGCAGCACGGCTGGTGGTTGCGTACCGCACCATTTGCAGCACCACATGAATTCGTAAATCCAGAAACGATCGGTCGGCGAGTTGACCTGATGAGGAAAGTCTAGGAGCATCCAGTCCAGTCCAAGCTCGAAACCAACTTCAGCATGCCCAAGAGAGGAGTTGCTGAGCCTGCCGTCGAAGAAGGAGGAGGATGCGGAGGCGAGAGGAGGGAGGATACTTAAGAAGTCGGCGGGAGGAGGAGGACCAGAGTAAACCTAAGAAGCATAAACGATGCTGCAATACACCTTCTCTTCCCAAGGCCTCTCCTCATGAATCCCTACAAGCCTTCCTTTCCACGTCAAGAAGCGCCCCTTTGAACGATCGGCACCCCATGGGCTTGTTATTCAGGCGAGAGGCCCGCTCTAGAAAGAAACTTACTGCCTTGCATCCTTCCTGCGATTAAGAAGAAGCGCGTAAAGGTATGATCATACAGTTCAGGGAGGTGTCCAGCGAGATCTCCGTTTCGAAAAAGGGCCGCTCCATCTGCGTAGTCTTTGCAGTTTTCACTCGTAACCATGAGCGTCGAGGACGCTTGAAGCGAAACTCCCCATTTTGGAAAGAAACCGACTTAGAGACGGAATCACTTTTCACGCATGCAGCTGTTGCATATGATCAAGCTTATGTGATCAGACAACTCCTCAAGCGAACGCCCCGCGTTGAAAATGAACCGCTCACAATCCTTTTAAGTATTACAAGCTTTTAAGACGCATATGCGCGGCGCTGAGGTGCGAGCTCCATGTTGAAAAGGGAGCGCTTTCCATCCTTGGAGCTGTTAAAGGAGGAGGAGGAGGAAGCGGATGAGGACGATGATGATGCTGATGATGATGATGATGATGATGATGATGATGATGATGATGATGATGTTGGTGATGCTGCTGATCATGATGATGATGTTGTTGTTGTTGTTGATGACGACGATTTTGATTTCATGGTGATGGTGATGGTGACGACGATGATGATGCTGATGCTGATGCTGATGCTGATGCTGATGCTGATGCTGATGCTGTTGTTGATGCTGATGATGCTGATGCTGATGCTGATGATGCTGATGATTATGCTGATGCTGATGCTGATGATGCTGATGATGCTGATGATGATGATGATGATGATGATGATCATGATGATGCTGCTGATGATGACGACGATGATGCTGATGCTGATGCTGATGATGATGATGACCGGCGACGACGACCACGACGACGACATGAAAGTGGACGAGGAGGAGGAGGACGACGGCGGCAGGAGTCAACCATGAACACCTTCGTGGATCTCTCGCTCCAGGGGTCTGTTGTAAGCCTCTTGGAGCCATCTTTGGGCTCTTTTGGGGGCCTTGGCGGCTCTCTTGGGAGCCCGCCTCTTGGAGCCACCTAGGGGCGCTCATTTGGGCCGTCTTGGGCCTCTTCTAGGCCCCTGTTGGGGCCCTCTCGGGCGAACTTGGGGCCATCTTGAGGAGTCAGAGGCCCATCGGAAGCGAAATGGTGAGCTGCCCAGAAGCATTGGGACCTTCGGTTTTTGATCGATCATGGCCTCTCGGGGGGTCTTCTTGGGCTCCTGGGTCAGCCTGGGTCCCTTGGAGCCGTCTTGGGATGGTCCTATGGCCTCTTGGAGGCGTGTTTGGGACAGCTTGAGTCGGCTTGGACCACCTTGGAGACCATCTCGTTGGAGGAGGAGGAGGAGGAGGATGAGGAGGATGAGGAGGATGAGGGGAGCTTTGAAGACCGTGCTCGGGACGAGAACCATCTCTGACCCGAGATGCCCAGGGTATTTGTGTCGTACGGGGACCCCCAGGGGCCGCCCCGCGCACGCGCGAACTAGTTGTATACTAACACTCCGAACCTCTTGCCAGAGGTCCTAGCACGCCTTTGGCCGCTGGGTCGGTGAACTTTTCTTCTCTGTAGTTTTCGGCCCGAGTCGTGAGAGATCTTGTGCGCCAGCTGGGTTTGTCAAGGGCCCTCGCGCTGGCCCGAACGTAGAACATCGTCTGTCGAGCAACATATATCGTGCGCAAGCCACCCGCAGGAGCGATTTAGAGGAGGGTCGGCGTCGTCGTCGTCGTCAACGTCGGCGTCGTCGTCGTCGTCGTCGGCTGCGGCGGCAGGGTCGTCGTCGTCGTCGTCGTCGTCGTCGTCGTCGTCGGGTGAAGCGAGCCCGCCCAGGCCGCCGAGCCAGCCGTGGCCAGCAGCGCGGCGCTGGGCGCCGCGTCGGGGCTTCTCGCTGCGGCGGACGCCGCCCACGCGAACGGATCGCAGCTGTTCCTCGGTGTCGTCAGCTGCCGCCGTCGGCCGCCGCGGCGTCGTCGTCGTCGTCGTCGACGTCGACGTCGACGTCGACGTCGACGTCGTTCTCGTCGTCGCCTGCGTCGTCGTCGTCATCGCCTTCGTCGTGGTCGTCGCCGTCGTCGTCGTCGCCTTCATCGTCGTCGTCGTGGTCCTGGTTCGAGGAGGAGGTCGGCCAGGCACGGCTTCGAGGCTTCAGCCCCATGCCGTTTGACAGTCCAGTGCAAGTCCGAGAGGGGCTAACCACCCTTCCTGTTGCCCCGTCATCGTCATCGCCATCGTCATCGTCATCGTATCTCTGGAGAGGCCAGTCTGATAGTTGAGCCCGAAGTTCTGCGGGGCGGCCCACATGGGCCTCTTCAGGTGCTGCCATCGCTGCGCCTCAGCTCGGTGAGCTCGTATTCGCTCGCGCTGGGCCGCAGTCAGAGAAGGAGGTGGGGGTGAAAGGAGGCGGAGGGGAGCCGGGGGGGGGGGGGGACGGGGTCGGCTAGGAGACCAGGTCGGCAGCTCGTGGGAAGGGTGCTGTCCGGTCAAGGGCCGTGGGAGAACGCCTGGGCCAGCGACAGGAGACGGAAACGCGCCTTCTCCGGAAGGGGTCAAGAGCTCCTCGCACGTCTGCTGGCCCACGCCCCTTCCTCGGAATTGGAGCGTAAATTGGGCGGTCAATTTCATCTCAAGCTAAATATTGGATCGAGACCGATAGCAAACAAGTACCATGAGGGAACGATGAAAAGGACTTTGAACAGATAGTTAAAAGTGCCTGAAATTGCTGAAAGGGAAGCTGGCCTCATTCTCATACAAGACCGACCCCACGAGAAAGTCCCTCAGCCCTTCCACCTCAGGCAGGCCTTCAGACTCCCCGGGCGGCGAGCCCGCTATGGGGGGGGCTCCTCGGATGCAGTGCCGAGCTCCGACGTGTCTTCGACGTGGGCCTTGCAGAGGCCAGGGGGGCAGGCCCTCTTAGTGGCCGTCCCGGAGCCCCCCCTCTGCCCCCCTGAAGTGTGGGCCCCTCGTCCGTGCGATCAGCGCCCACGCCCTGGCGTGGCCAGCAGGCGCTCATGCAGGCCACTCACTCGTAGGCCCATCTGGCGGGCCCCCAGCTGGGCGCTCGCCCGAGCAGGAGCAGCGGCGCCCAGAGTCCAGACCTCGAACCCGTAATGAATCCTCACCCTTTTTTGCAGAAGAGCCAGCAGCAGTGCGATCCTCCATCCCCCCCACGCTGGCAGGTTCGGGGCCCGCTACACTGGCCTGCTCTTCGAGGAGATCATCCCCTACGCCCTGGTGCCGCGCGGGGATGGGGCCCCTTTGCGCGTGCGCCTGCCCCGTGCCGTCGCACGGGCTCTCTCCCCACGCGGGCCCTCGGCGGGCGACGGCCGCGGACGCGGCCCTGACAGTTGGCAACAGGAGCAAGAGGACGAGGCCCTGGTAGAGCAGATGGGGCAGGAGGAGGGCGCACGCAGGCGTCGAGATATGGCATCTGAAGTCCCCCCCGTGGCACAGCGTGGCACGGTGTGGTTCGAGCGAGCGGGCCAAATGGCTCCTCATCCTCCTCTTCTTTCCCCTCCCCTCCCCTCCTTTCCCTCCTCCCCCTCCTCCATGTGCCAACGCCTGCCGCAGCCCGTGCGGCTGCATGCGAAACCGCAGCTTTTCAGGCTCCCCTGTTCGCCTTCACGCTGGGCAGGAAACGGATCCTGAGGAAAAGGGGGCCTGGAGTTTTTGTCACAGCTTTCGGGCTTCTCGGGGCGCTCCCGGGCCGCCACCAAACGACTCCAGATGAAATGTTGGTAATTAGGCCCGCTGGCCAACATATTGCGAGGCGTGTCCTCTCGCTCCTCTCCTTCAGACTGCGGCGGAGCCCTCCGCCTCGCCGTGCGGAGGTGTCGTCCTTCACGATTCTGTGGGGGATCGTGCTGGGCTTCGTGCTCCTCCGCCTGCAGGAGGCCTTCCCGGAGTGAGCGGGGCGGCCCGTGCACAGCGGACCGTGGCGCCGGGGACGACGAGGGGGTAGCGAGGGAGGAGGAGGAGGAGGAGGAGGAGGAGGAGGAGGAGGCGGAGGAGGAGGAGGAAGAGGAGGAGGCGGAGGAGGAGGAGGAGGAGGAGGAGGTGGAGGAGGAGGTGGAGGTGGAGGAGGGAGGGGGATGGGGGAGGGGGAGGGGCAGGAGGAGGATGAGGAGGAGAGGAGGAGGAGGAGGAGGAGGAGGAGGAGGGAGGAGGAGGAGGAGGTGGAGGAGGAGGAGGAGAGAGGAGGAGGAGGAGGAGGAGGAGGAGGAGGAGGAGGAGAAGGAGGAGGTGTAGGGGGAGGGGGAGGGGCATGAGGAGGGCGTGGAGGAGGGAGGAGAGGAAGAGGAATAAAGGATGATGTTGGCAGGAGGGGGGAACGGAGAGCATAGAGGCGCAACTCGACATCGACGACAGATACCGAGAGTCGGGGAGCTTAAGATCCAGGGTGGCACAATGGCGACACCACTCACGGCATGTCCGACTCAGGGCCAAGGACTTGCCGAAGCAATTCCTGCGAGCGAAACGGAATTACAAGTTCGAGTAAGGACGTGTATGGTCGTGGCAGTGTGTAGACGTGGCATCTTCCGATGCAGCTTCAGGTGCTTCTCGAACATACGATTCCCCTCAAAGCGACTGCAGGGGATGCGTTCCAGCCGCTTTTCATGGGAGCTCTCGGACAGGTGGGGCCCGTTGCTCCCCTGGAACCACGAGCCGCACCTGCGACATTTCAGGTTGTGTCCCGACACGGAGATTTAGCAGCCACGTGAGAGGCCCATTGAGCTGATACATGGAGGAGGAGGAGAAGGAGGAGGAGGAGTAGGAGGAGGAGTAGGAAGAGGAGGAGGAGGAGGAGGAGGAGGAGGAGGAGGAGGAGGGAGGAGGAGGAGGAGGAGGAGGAGGAGGAGGAGGAGGAGGAGGAGGAGGAGGAGGAGGAGGAGGAGGAGGAGGAGGAGGAGGAGGAGTGAGAAGGAGGAGGAGGAGGAGGAGGATGAGGGGGGGAGGAGGAGGAGGAGGAGGAGGAGGAGGAGGAGGAGGAGGAGGAGGAGGAGGAGGAGGAGGAGGAGGAGGAGGAGGAGGAGGAGGAGGAGGATACCTAAAGCCATCGGGGGCCCGAACTCCGGCTGCCCCCCGCGGGGGTGGGCGGCCGCGCGGGCCGGCCTCAGGCGTGCGCTTCCCAGCAGGCGCCGCGATGTCTTGATGCACCATATTTCTTTTCTTTCTCGCCTGCATCAAGACAATGATCGAGACCAGGAGCAACCGACGACTCGTGAGGAGATCGTCGAGACTGTCTGAGAAGGCGGTTCGCCGTGTCGGATACGCGGTCAGAACAGGAGGGCGAGTAAGTATGCGAGACTGGAAACATATTGCCATCCAACTCCAATGCGAGCAGCAGGCAGTTGTTCAGAAAGATTCGTGCGACCCTCAGCTGCGGCCGAGGCACCAGCATACACGCCAGGTGCGTCCTTTTCTCGAAAGTTGGGCATCGATAATGTGGCCCACACAAGTAGCGAGCCTCACGAATTCAGGCAAGACTTTTCCTGGCCGTGGCAACTTCCAGATATCATCCAGGTGCCGACCTCCCGAGACACTGGCGACAGTGCAGACGTGATCTGCTACAGCTCAGAGCAGCAGGAGGCCGATCTTTGGCAGCAGTCGCATCAATAATGGCAGCAGTCGCATCAAGAATGGCAGCAGCCGCGTCAAGAATGGCAGCAGCCGCATCAAGAACAGCAGGCCTTTACTTTCTGGGCCCTTCGCTGGCTGCCAGACGTGGGTGAAGGTACAACCCAGAACAAGAGCGCGCGAGAAGCGAAGGCAGAGCCAGAGTGTCCGCGAAGCGAGAAGCCAAATCCCTCCGTTGCTCTGAGCGGTGTGCCACCCTGCGAGAAGCAAGAGGGCGAGCTGAAACCCGACACTGTGCGAGCAGGGACGGCGCCGACTGCGGGCGGCGTGGCAACTGCAGAAACTGACGCGTGTGAGAAGGCAGGCAGTGGCGGCCCTTGCGAGAAGGCAGGCAGTGGCAGCCCAGGCTACAGGACAGGTACTGGCACTTCCGGCAACAGCTGCGAGGACGGCGGCGAAGTCACAAACCAGAACCAAAGCGCGCACGAAGCGGAAGAACCAGAGCGTGCGCAAAGCGAGAAACAAACAAGTCTTCACCTCACCGTCTACGGCCCGCTCCCAGAGGCGCTACCCTGCAGAGAGAAGTCGGAGGCGAAACAAGAGTCCGACGCGACCAGCTACAGTGAGGCGGCCAGGGCACGCGAGCCTATGAACGCGAAGATAGAGCCCGTCATCCTCGTTGGCTCTAACCATAGTGCGCGTGATAAGTCGGAGGCGAAGCTTGAGTCCGACACGATCAGCTACAGCGCTGCGGTCAGGGACCGTGGACAGAAAGGGGCTAAGACAGGCCCTGTGCGCTCCAGCTCCATCCCTGTGGTCAGCGTTTGCGAGAAGCGGGAGGCGAAAGAAGAGCCCGACGAGAACAGCTACAGCGTCGCGATCGGGGCGGCCGCGGGCAGCGGTGCGAGGGGCCGGCAGCGGGCAGTGGTGCGAGAAGAGACGGCAGTGGTGCGAGAAGAGACGGGCGGCAGGGGTGCGAGAAGAGACGGCAGTGGTGCGATCAGGGCGGCCGCGGGCAGTGGTGCGATCAGGACGGCAGTGGTGCGTTCAGGACGGCAGTGGCGCGATCAGGACGGCTGTGGTGCGACCCTCGACGACCCCGCGCCCGACTCGGACGGCCCAGCCGACGACGACTCCGTCCTGGAGGACTCCGACAGCGACGCTGACGGCGACACCACGCCCCAGGACACCCTGTCCGACGGCGGCGCGCGCAGTGGCAGCGGGCAGTGGCAGCCTGCAGTGCGAGAAGGGGCAGCGGCCAACGACGACTCCCCCGCCAGCACCAACAAATGGGAGAGCGGACAGATCCCATCGAACATCCGCAAGCCGTGGGACATCTTCGAGGAGGATCTCGAGGACACGCTCAACGACGTCATCGACAGAACCGAGGAGGAGGCCTTGCGAGCACGCCTCGCTGCCGTCCAAGCCGAGGGAGCCCGCTCGGCCTTCTCGTTGCTCCCGCACGATGAGCAGCGCGCCTACGGGGAGGTCTCGTTCGCCGAGCTCGCGGCCTACTCGGCCTTCATGCGCTACGCCCGCGGCCGTGGCGCCAGCGAGTGGATAGCCGCGCAGGCTTGGAGTTCCCTGGGCAGCGAGGCGCAGGCAGAGTGGACCACCGAGTGCCCACGAGATGCACTCGCCTCCGACCCGCTCTTCGCGCCGTACCTCAGGGACGCAGAGGACGCAGAAGGACGCAGAAGGAAGACTAGCAGCCCCAGGACGACTCCCACGAGGAGGACCCCGACGGCCGCCACCACACCAACCCATACGACCAAGAAGGTGCGCTTCATCCTCGAGGCCGTGCCCGACCCCCCTCGAGGCCGCGACCGAACCAGCAGCGCACCAACAGGTACCAGCAGAGCACCGGGCACCAGCAGTGCATCGGGCACCAGCAGGGCTTCACGGGGGTAACCAACCTGAACAGCGGCTTCCTCAACGCCATCGCCCCCTCGGGTGGTGAGCGTGCCGCCCTCCTACTGCGGAGGAGGCTGGCGGCCACCGAGGGGGGGGCAAGTTCGTCGCGTTCGGCTACCGCAGGGAGTACTTCATCTGAAGAGGCGGGGGGCGGTGGCCCCTGCCTCTGCGGCTACGCCTGCTCCGCGGCCGCGCGCCGCGCCTTTTGGGGCCCCTAGGGGCCCCACCTTGAAACCCGGCCCCGTCTCTTCCCCTCTGTTACGTGCAGAAGCGGCTGGTCCCTGGTCCTCTTTCTCTTCCTCGGGGTCGGGTTCCCGGGGCCGTCGTCTGAGTGCCCGCGCGGCCCTCGTGGGCTGCTGCGGCGCGCTCCGCGCTCCGGGCGTGCGTGGGGCGCTGCTCAGAGCGAGAAACGCAGAAACGCAGGGGGATACCTAGAGGCCCACTCGCGGAAACGCGAGGCCGCTTGGGCGTGGGCTCCACCTCGGACGGGCTCTCACGAGTGCGCTGTGGGAGCAGCGTTGCGGGCGTCGTTGTCCGGCGCCGATCTGCGGCCTCGAGCCCGACGAGGGCGTCGGGCCGCGCGGGAGGACGGCCTCCTCGGGCTCCCCGCGGGGCCGCGCACCGCAAGGGTGCGATTCCGCCCCCGCCTCCACGGCAGCAGCAGCGGCATGGCCTCCACTTCTCGGCGGGCACCAACTATGCACCAACGCCGATCCTGGCCCAGGATCACCCTGGGCCCATGATCGGTGTATATGCCTTCTTGCCCAAGGCAGGAGGGCGTATGCACCGATCCTGGGCCCAGGGTGATCCTGGCCAGGATCGGTGTTGGTGTATAGTTGGTGCCTCCCTAACTTCTGAGGGGGTCGAATCGCCAGTGTCATGGCGCCAGCGTCGCAGAGCGGATTTCGTTCGGAAGATAGTGGGATGGGCCCGGAAGACCACAACAAACATCCACGTGGAATTCCTGTCGTTTTTCGCTCGCCGTTTCGGAATTTTGCATCGGCAGAAATCCACGCCAAAATCCGATGCAGCATGTCTGCAAGGTCGGTGCAATGACCAGTGCTGCGGTCGCGCCTTGGGGGCGTGCGCGCTGCGGCCGCCATTATCGCCCGCATGGCGCATCTTCCCCCTAGGGATACTTGAATAATCTCAAATTTAGGAAAAGCTCCAGGATTAAGGCAACTCCCATCGTCGATCTGGGTGCCTTTAGTTTTTCGAGACTACTCGGGTGTCTGGCGGCTGTTCGGGCCGTGCACCCCTGGAACGCTCTCGGCGAGGCGCAGCTGCTGGCCCGATGTTTCAGAGCATGCATGATGCAGCAATGCCGGCGAAAGAGGCCGCTGAGGAAAACGTCGGCTTGGTGGACTACGACGGCGGACATGTTCAAGTCGGGAGAGCTTGAGACGATCTTATTGAAGGTGGAAACTGTGCTGCCAGGGCTGGTCTGCCTCGCCTGGATGTTCGACCAG